TCTGCGCCGGGTTCTCCGTGAGGCCCAGCGGGGGGGAGCCGTGGCTGAGCCCAGAGCCGTGTGCTGGCAGCAGTGCTGGGCCTGCCGCGGGGAGAGGAGCTCGGTTGCAGCGCGTGCTCTGCAAGCCGTGCTCTGCAGTCCAGAACAGGCTTGCCGTGGCCATAAAACATTCATTTCTCAGACACAGAGCGGCAGCTAATGCTGTGGGTGACACTGGCACTGGCTGTAAATCTGATTTTGGCAGAGCTCTGTCGATTTATGCTTGCTGGTGATCCGGCTAACGCGTCTAGGATAAAGAATTGAGAACAAGGAGGACAGGAGATTATATTGCCCATCTAATAACCGAACACGGCAATGATGGGAAAATCTGTGGAGTGCAAAGCATCAGGTCCCCATGGAACTACCCAGAGGAGATGCTGGGTAAATATTTGCTTGTATGGGAGACAAGTTTGTCTTCCACGCACAAACAGGAGAGCATCAGCTCCATCCACAGTGTGGGAAAGCTGGAAGTGAAGGGAAGTAAAGTTTAAGGCTAATTGTAACGTGGGTTCTAGAAGCTGTAAAGGGCACAGCCTCTTCAAAATACACTTATTGCACTGGGAAGAGCAAAACTGGCTGATGAACTCTTCTAAAAGGCTGCTTGGGATGGCAGTGTGGCTGCTTCTCTCCTTGGGAGCTTGCTCTGGCCTCTGAGCTCAGCAAGAGCTCACCATAACCTGCCTTGGGGTGCTTGGCAGGACCAGATTTACCTCTCTTCACACATCTGTGTATGCCCTCAATTATTCTCCATTTCTAGCCCATTTAAGAGGAAGAGAGACTGTTTTTAATGGCGATGCTCCACTGTGTACCTCTTGCAAGATTTTCCCTGGGTGGCCATGGCTGATGCCCCCCCATCCTCACCTCTTCTCCTCTGAGCGATCCCCCAGCACTGCCCGCAGTCCCCGGCCGCTTGCTCCTGGTGGCTCAGCAGCGTGTTTGCAGCTCTGGTTGGGGCTTCCCAGCCTTCTCTGGCCACTGCTGTTTCTCTCTGTCTCCGATGCGAGGCCATCGCTGTGTGGAGAGGTCATGAGTGAACCCCAGCACCCTTGGGAGGGTCAAGAGCCAGAATCTGAAGCCAGTTTCCATACAGCTTTCTCTCTCCTGAGTCTGTTAGATCTTGTTTGCGTCTGATACTCATTCAAGTGGGTCCAAAACCATCCCCTGGGCATACAGAGTAGACACACAGAGCCATTGTCCAAGTACCAGCAGGCCCGAACACCCCTTTGGAGCAAGTCAAGGGAGCCTGGCGCATGGAAGAAGTAAGCTCAGGCTTAAGTCAAGACCTTTCCATAACCAGCAAGGATGGGTCCCCTTGGTAGGAGCAATTTCTCTTGAGCGTGCCCAGCTGCCACGTCCCAGACATGGGCAGATGTGCCAACGAGGGGCTTCTGCCCAGGCAACGCCCCTTCCCTCTCCTCCGGTTTCCTCTTGCCCAGCCGAAGGGCTTTCAGTAGGGCAGGAGCTGATGTTCTTCAGATGGGCAGTCTCACCTCCTCAAAGCAAGTCAGCACCACAAAAGGTCTCCCCAGTAGATAGGGGATACCATAACTCTCCCCCCCTCTCATCCCCCAGTTCTCGCACACGTGTCCCAGGTGGCAGAGCAGGGCACCTGGGGCTTGGATCCACCTCATCTCTCTCCAGCCAGTTAACGCCCAACCTGCTAAGTTAGCAGAGTTAGCTGCTGGGTGCATGGGAACTCCTTCTAGTTAGTAGAGCAGAAAGAATCAGCAAAACCACCCACTTAGGTCTTGGAGAAAAATGCAGCTATTTTCACCCAACAGCCCTTGCAGAAGCCAACAAGCAGCTGCTCCTTGCATGTCAGCTCCCCAGCTGCACTCACGGCTCAGCAGCATCGCTTCCCAACTCACCAACAAGCACATCAGGTAGAAAAACAAATTAAAAATCAATTAGGGCATTGCCGCCATTGTGTGGGACTGGAAGTCTTAGAAATGCACGTTTCAGAGCTGTAAACATAGTGCCCTGTGTGTGTTTGATTGAAAACTGATGAAGCAGTTATTCAGTTATCCAAACTTTATATTTTTCAGTGTCAACCCCAGTCTTAGAGCAGCTGAGATGCTCTCTGATCTCCAGTGCTTTCCGATGGGAAAGCCTCTCCACCTTCCCCACGCGCCAGGCTGGTCAGGGAGGGTGCTCCAGGCTCCCTGCTCGGCGTAGGGCTGGTAGGGCAAGGCGAGGAGCCCGGTTCTGGTGTTACAGTGCTGGGGGACCGCTGTCTTGTAGATCCAACCCGTACCAAACCAACCTGCTTCGGGACGGTGTGCGGAGGTACCTGCAGCTGCCGGCAGACCAGACAGTATTGATACTGCACGCCAAAGTCGCACAGAAGTCGTACGGCAATGAAAAAAGGTAGGAGACAGCTCCAGCTTCTCTGACAGCCGCTTCCAAACCCAGCTACCTAAAGCTCGATTTCAGCCTTGCTAGATTTCTCTGTTTTAAGCTGGTGAAGCAAATGATTTGACACACCCCCGCTCCATCCATTCATGACCCCTTTGCATCTAAAACTACTGTTTAGTCTTGAACTAAGGCTATTAACCCTCCACCTGCATCCATCCCAGTTAGACATTCCCAATGGTTAGGTTCCTCCCGTGGCGTAATGGAGATCAGAAAGATGAAGTAAAAGAAGGAAATAAACTATTCAAGAAGAAGAGGAAAGGTTAGTGTTTTAAGTGCTCTGGAAATCTTGTCTTAAAATCTGAACGGCTACAGCAGGGGCTGGGGTGTTTCAGTCAATGCCCACGGTCTCCAAAAAGCTGCTATTTTTGAAAAATCTTTCCTGCACTGCAAAAACACCTCGAGGTTCTGGCTTGAATCTCAAAATTGCTACTCCTGGGCAGTGATGTCAGACTGTGGCAGTGTAATGTAATTAATCCTCCATTAATCCTTGTGATATAAATAATCCTCTGTTATTACCGAGTGTGGAGTAGCTCTACCTCTAAGGCATAACCGCACCCAGACCCCAGGAGACAGCTCTAAGCTGGGCTGACTGTGCCTACAAAGTCCTCATCACATCCAGCCTCCTGCCAGGGGCTGCTGGTCTGCAGGTAAAGGTTTTATTTTGGGACAGGGTCTCCCAGCCAGGAGGGAAGCCCCCGTATCGCTGAGCTTTCAGAACAGCCTCCTGCCCCTGCTCCAGACCCCATGCAAGGGATGAGCGTGAAAATCAGATGCCAGGTCTGAAGAGGGAGAGAAAAGCAGCACAGAGCTCCCAGCTTAAAGTTTAAAGGTGCTGGTGCTGTTTTAGCTTCATGGTGGGAGTCAGGGGCCCGTGCTGTGCATGACTTGTTCAAATAAACCTGTATCCAGGACTTTAGGGCTCTGAAATATCCACCCCCCTGCACCGGTGTTTTCTCTGCTAGTGCTTTACCCAGGATCAATAGAGGATGAATTTGCACCATTCACACAAGTGCAAAGACAGTGGAAACCCAAATAAAAGACAGGAAAATAGGTTTCCAAAACCCTGGCTATAGATTTATTTGCGTTGGGCTCCAAATCTGGCTGTGAATGCAAACTCTGTTCCCGACCTGCTGAAACTCCCACATGGCAGGCGGGCAGAGGCAGGGGGCCCGATACCCCCTTGGCTCCGGGCAGGAGGGGGCCAAGGCGCCCCGTCCTCCCCTCCCGGGGCCGTCCCATGGCCGATGGGCTTGTGGCCACCAGTGGCACCGATAGATGTGGCAGCCACCCGGACGCTGCGGCTGGAGGCAGCCAGCGCAGAGCAGAGAGCCTGAGAGAGCTGCTTCAGCAGACCCCGATTCCTCCGGCCAGCCCTGCCCGCGCCCCCCAACCAGGGGGTCTCCAGCCCCTCACTGCAGCACCACGTACCTCCCAGGGTGCAGGGTTGCTCCCGGCGCCGGTGAGCCCTGGGTGAAGGTCTCTGCTCTCAGCGCAGCCGTCCCATCACCCCCGAGCACCTTTTCTGGATGCTGAAGTGCAGTAAGAAAATGTCCTCTTGTCTTTGCAGGTTTTTCTGCCCCCCGCCTTGCGTTTACCTGAGCGGGCCGGGATGGAAGTTAAAACAGGAGCAGATAAAAGGTAAGCGCTGAGCAGCAGCCCTGGACCTCTCCTCCCTCCCTTCCCGTGCTGTGGAGAGCTGTCCTCCACCTCTGCAAAGGGGAGAGTGACCCAGTTTATTTTATCTTTGCCCCCCCCCCAAGCTCCTCTTTCCCCCTCGAGGCTGAGCCCACTGCGGTCCAGACCTGGGGAGGGCTGGAACCTGGGCCACCCACCGCGCCCGGAGGAGCCAAGCCCAGGCTTGTGCCTGCACAGGGGCTGGAGGGTGCTTCTCCCCATCTCTTCCAGCCAGAGACCTGGGAGAGGCGGGTTTTCGGGTGTGCGGGTACATGGGGCTGGACAGCATGGGCAGCAACCTGATGGAGACCCAGAAGCTCAGCTTTGAGGAGCAGCCGGATGCAAAGGTAAAGCCTGATGCTCCCTGGGGCTGTGCGGTGGCACCCCATGGGGACCCCACTCACACGTGGGCTGGCTGTCCCTGGTGTCACCCCACGCCCTGGCACGTCGCATCATCCCCTTCCTCGGGATGTCGTGGTCCTTCCTTCCTAGCCATCACTCCCCGCTCCTGCTCTGTCACCCTGTTGTGGCACGGGTGGCAGCCCGAGCAGCCGGGCAGGCTCCCCTGCCTTGCAAAAGAGCCCCATCTTTCTTCGGCACCATCTTTTCAGGTTGGCAGGCAAACTGCCAAAATTTGCACAGCTCCTTCAGCCCCGGTACCTTCTCCCAGTGAGCAGCACTGCTGCTTATCGCTGTGCAGATAAACAGCTAAAAAAAAAAACCCTGATGGATCCCAAAGTTCAAGAGCTTCAGCAGAGCTCTGGCATCTTTTGATAGGGGAAAAAAAGAAGTAAAAGCATTATCTGGGGTCCCCGAAGAGCGCGGGGTCTGAGTCAGGCCAGAAACCTTACAAAAAGAGCCTTTGTTCGCAGTGCTTGCATTGCTGCTAAGGCACGGCATATCGGCCAGGACGGTGGGGAAACCATAAACCCAGGGCGATTTCTCATGTTATGTGGGATAAATCACACGTGAACATTCATTTCCATGAGGAATTCTCTGCCCCCAGTGTAAATAAAGCCTCTGCTGATCCCCAGCTCTTCATTCCACCTGTAATAACATCTCCGGTCGTTTCCCCCTTTAAATGAACCTGGGGCTCTTTGAAAGGGCTCTATTATGTCCTTGCGGGGCGGTGAGGAGGGCGAGGAGGGCGAGGAAGGCTGGTGGGGCTGGGCTGGAGCTGCTGGCAGCCCCTCTGTGCCCTTGGCAGGGTTTCAGCTGTGCCAAGGCACTGTACATCTCGGATGCGGACAAGCGCAAGCATTTCCGCCTGGTCCTGAAGCTCTTCTTCAGCAACGGGCAGGAGATTGGCACCTTCCACAGCAAGCTGATCAAGGTCATCTCCAAGCCCTCGCAGAAGAAGCAGTCACTGAAGAACACGGACCGTGCGTACGGGGATGGCTCTGCAGGGAGGAAAGCGGGTGCGAGCCCAGGGTGGGATGCTCTCTGAGTGCTCACAGCTTGGCTCCAGAGTGATCTGGGCACCCCCAAAAGAGGGGGAATGTATCTGGGCATATTGACGCCTCTTTTCTGAAGGGTTCACCCACCACAATGCGTAATGCCCTGATGCCAGTGTGCTCCCCACACCATGGGCTTCACCTGCACCTTTGAAAAGCCCAGCTGGGCTGGCACTCACATACAGAGAAAGGCAGCCGGGAGGGTGCTGGTTCCTGCTGGGCAGGTTACACCAGTAACCAGGACTTGTCTTCTCTTGGCTTGACAAAGCCATAGTTCAAGCCACGCACAGACCTGACAAGTGCTAACCCAGCCATCTCTCCCCACAGTCTGCATCTCCTCGGGCTCCAAAGTCTCCCTCTTCAACCGCCTGCGCTCCCAGACCGTCAGCACCCGTTACCTCTCCGTTGAGGGGGGAGCCTTCTTCGCCAGCGCCAGGCAGTGGGCAGCCTTCACCCTCCACCTGGGTAAGGATCCTCGTGGGGCCGCTGACACCAGCCATGCCCAGGGCTGCCTGCCTCCAGCCCTGGCCCTCCCCTCCTGCAAAGCCAGTTCTTAGGGGCAAAAGGGATGGGAAATAGCTTGGGGATGTGGGAAGCTGGCTCAGATCTCACCTCTGCCCGGTGTTCCTAGTGTGTCTGTGGAGCTGATGGCTGTTTCCCACTGGCTTTGAGGGTTGGCATCATGCCCTGGGAGCACATGGGTTGTGACCAGGGCAGCAAGAGCTGTACCAGTCTGGAGGTTCATGAATCCAGGCAAGTTACTTGCCTGGAAGAGGCCAGACGCCCGCAGCATCCCTGCCTACGCTGCTTCTGGTGGTGTCCCTGTGAGGTACTGCATCCCAGTCCCGCTCTCCCGTGCTGGGCTCCCTGGGAGCAGTGGTCTCTGCAAGCAGCAAGCACCTGCAGAGCAGAGAAAGCAGTAAGAAAGCACTGGGAGCACGGCCAGACCTGTGCATAGCAAGGTAGCCCAGGTTAACCTGCTCCCTGGCCACTCGGGGTGGTGACTCTGCCTCTCTCCTTCCCACCAAGCCGATGAGCACTGTGCTCGGAGCGAGTTCCCCCCGCGGGAAGGGTATATCCACTATGGCTCCGTGGTCCAGCTCGTCTGCACGGCCACCGGCATCACCCTGCCTCCCCTGGTAAGCCTCCATCCCCACAGATGTCAGGCACATGGACCTGGCCGCTCTGTGCCTCTGAGCAACGGGTACCATCCCTGGGATGCTGCTGCCACCCTGCAGATCATCCGGAAGGTGACGAAGCAGTATGCCCTGCTGGACGTGGACGAGCCCATCTCCCAGCTCCACAAATGCGCCTTCCAGTTCCAGGGCAGCGACCGCATGTACCTCTGTCTCTCCACGGAGAAAGTGATCCAGTTCCAGGTACGGCAGCACGAGGAGGGGCTGAGGACCCCCGGGGTGCTCCCCGTCCTCTCTCCAAGCTCCTCTGTGTTGCTGCTGGCTGGGGAACGTCACCAGGAGGGGTCTTCCAGCAAAGGGGAGTTTCGTCCAAATTAAGGTCAGAATCGCTGCAAAGCCATCTGCCTCCGGCTTGCCTGCTTTGGTGGGGACATCGTCACTGAGGTCTTTGCAAAGGCATCACGATCCCCATTTCCCAGCAAGCAAAGCAGAGGCACCAAGTTGCTTGCTGGAACCAAGACGCCGGGGGCAGAAGCCAGGCATCCTGGCCCCGGTCCTCCGCTGTCCCCGCTGCGGCGTGTTTGGAGCTGTGACACTCTCCGCAGGCATCTCCCTGCCCGAAGGAAGCCAACCGGGAGCTGCTGAACGACGGCTCCTGCTGGACCATCATCGGCACCGAGACGGTGGAGTACACCTTCAGTGAGAGCCTGGCCTGCGTCTGCGAGCCCGTCAGCCCCGTGCCGCTCATCACTGCCCTGCAGGTAGGCACAGTGCGGACGGCCCGCGCCGGCCCGCCAGCCCCCCCGCCCTCTCCATCCCCTGCCTCCGTCATGGCTCCTGCTGCTGAGCCCTTGCACCCGCACTCAGCATCTCCCGGTTTTGGGATGCTGTGGGAATGCCCAGGTCTGGATTGCTGCAGCGGGGATGGGACACACGGGCAGAGCGTCCTGTGGGAGAAGAAGTCTGGCTCATTCCATCACGTAACACACTGCCATGCACTCTGTCACAGCTCACAGGCGGCGGGGACGTGGCCATGCTGGAGGTGCAGGGAGAGTATTTCCATGCACACCTCAAGGTCTGGTTCGGAGATGTGGAAGCAGAGACTATGTACAGGTAACACAGCCGAGGGGGCCAGGGAGCAGGCAGGGAATGGCAGCCAGGCTTGGGCAGCGCTGGGCAGCTCTGGGAGGGACAAGGCTGCCGACCTTGGGGACGGGGCACTTGCACTGCCCCTTCTGTGGGACCAAGCACGAGCATTGCAAGGAGAGGCAGGGATGAGTCTGGCTGGTGCCTGCTGGCTCTGGATGCGGTCTGGGGATAGCAGTGGGCAATGGACATGGGGACCTTGGGGGCTGCAAAGAAGCAAGCGACCCTGGCAGAGGGGAACGAAACACTGGGGAGGAGAGGGGAAACCGGCCAGAGGCTTCATGCTGAGCTCCAGGCTGGAGAAGACATGCCGGCACTCACTGCTGTCCACTCCTGCGCTGGGCCCTCCCAGGTTAATGCACGTTTTCCTCTCCTGTGCTGTTCCCAGGAGCCCCAAGTCCCTCATGTGCGTCGTCCCTGATGTCTCTGCCTTCGGCAGTGACTGGAGGTGGCTGCGATACCCCATCACGGTCCCACTCCTGCTGATCAGGGATGATGGCCTCATCTACTCCAGCTCATTCACATTCACCTACACCCCGGAGCAGAGCTTCATCCCAGGGCAGCAGGTCCTTTCGGACGTCCCCCAGGACTCGGACAAATTACTTGACAGCATCCATCAAGAGTTCACCAGGACCAACTTCCACCTCTTCATGCAGAGCTAGCAAGCTGGGCAGGCAGAGGCTCAGCCTTGCCGCCGGCCCGAGGGAAGGGGAGCAGCCCTGAGCCATGCCAGGGGTCCCCGTCCAGGGCTCGGGGTGGCCCCGCCAAAGGGTCCTCCCCACGCATCGAATGCCCGCTGTGTCACTGTGATTTGCTGACTTGTCTCTTCTTCATGGCAGCATCTGACCCTGCTGAGATCTCACATGAGAGCGTCAATAAATCAGGCTTCAAGGACTCTTATTGATTCAATTGCTTCTTTACTAACCTTCATGATTTACCTCCTGTGCTGGCACAGAGCATCACAGCTCCCTTGATGTCCTCAGTCCATATATTCAAAGGCCAGGAGGGACAGGGATGATGAACAAATGTGCCCTTAAGTGTTACTGATCTATACCAGGAATCCCTGCATCGCTTCTGTGCTTTTCAGTAACGAGGAGCTGATTTCCAGCAGCCAAATACTCGGTACCAGATGGTTTGTTTTTTTATTAGAGGCCCAAGTGGGGTTATTTCAAAAGGAAAAGGGAAAAAGAGAGAAAGAAAAACTTCAGTAAGAAACCCAGCCCCTTCCTAGCTGGCGTAGCTCTGCCAAGCTCTGTTGTTTAACACACTTACACACACACACAAACACACACAGAAATTGCAGAGC